CATTGGCAGACTCTACCGATGTATTGGCAGAATCTGCCAATATCTAGAAATACGCAGACTCTGCCAAAATATTGGCAGACTCTGCCGAACATTGGTAGACTCTGCGGAAACATTGGTGTTTTTAATATATATAGGGACCTAAAAACTTGGGAAAATTGCAAAAATGCCAGTTTTTATGTGCATATTTGCAAAAATACCACTTAGGAGTATTCATTTGCAAAAATACCACTAATTATAGATTTTGAAATCTTATATCTTAAAATTCTAAACATTAAAAAATGTTTTGACCTCTAAACCCCATAAATCCTTATAACTAAATCCTAATAAAACATACTTAACCAAAACATAAATCATATAAAGGAAAAATAATTTTGATAAAGTGGTAATTTTGTAAACATTTCAAAAATAGAGCATTTTGGTAAAGTGGAACTTAAAAAGTGACATTTTTCTATATTTTTCAAAAAGTTTTTAGGCCCTATACCAAATTTTTATTTTTTTTAAAAGAAATTTTCTATTTTTAATAAATTTGAAAATTTGGGCCCGTTTTGATAAAATTAGAACCCTTTATTGCACAATAAAAAATAACTGAAAAATGGTGGATCCTGACGTTTATACTTGTTGCACGTGCCCAGAACCTCCACTGTGTATACATATATCAAAATAACAAGAGCATAGACCAATTGATCCAATGAAGAAACGATTCCTCCAAAATGTCCGTTTTGCCCCTGCTCCTTCTCCATTTGTCCAAAACGACTTCTTTCATCTCAAAACCAAAGCTTTCTTGATCCACAAGCTTTCAGAATCTACCAACCTCTTTCTCACGAGTTTATTACATACACTGACTCTAAAAATTGGTTTCGCAAGTGACACTTTCACTGTGAATCACCTCATAAATCGCTATGTCAAGCTCAGAGAAATCAACACTGCACGCAAGTTGTTCGATGAAATGCCTGAACCAAATGTCGTTTCCTGGACTTCGGTTATTTCAGGGTATAACGACATGGGTCAATCTCAAACTGCTCTGTGTATGTTTCAGGAAATGCATGAAGATGGATATGTGTCTCCCAATGAGTACACGTTTGCGAGTGTCTTTAAAGCTTGTTCTGCTTTGGCTGAATTAAGAATAGGGAAAAATATTCATGCCCGTCTTGAGATTTCTAGGTGCAGAGGCAACACTGTTGTGAGTTCTTCTCTTGTTGACATGTATGGGAAATGCAACGATGTGGAAATCGCTAGACGGGTTTTCGACTCGATGATTGGTTATGGCAGAAATGTTGTTTCTTGGACCTCGATGATCACGGCTTATGCGCAGAACGCTCGTGGCCATGAGGCTATTGAGATTTTTAGATCGTTCAATGCTTCTTCAACGTCGGATAGGCCGAATCAGTTTATGTTGGCTAGTGTTATTAGTGCTTGCTCTTGTTTAGGTAGGTTACAATGGGGTAGAGTTGCTCACAGTGTAGTAACTAGGAGTGGTTACGAATCAAACAATGTGGTTGCTACCTCGCTTCTAGATATGTACGCGAAATGCGGGTCTCTAAGCTGTGCGGAGAAAATCTTCTTGAGGAATCGCAGTGATTCTGTAATATTGTACACATCTATGATCATGGCATTGGCAAAGCATGGACTTGGAAAAGCAGCGCTTGAACTATTTGAAGAAATTGTTGCAAAGAGAATAAAGCCTAACTATGTAACATTACTCGGTGTATTACACGCTTGTAGTCATTCGGGTCTGGTCAACAAAGGGTTAGAATACTTGAACACTATGAATGAGAAGCACGGTGTGACTCCTGACCCGAGGCATTACACTTGTGTTGTTGATATGCTTGGAAGATTTGGCCGTGTTGATGAAGCTTACGATCTGGCGAAAACAATAGAAGTTGGAGCAGGGCAAGGTGCGCTCTTGTGGGGAGCTCTTCTTTCAGCTGGTAGGTTACATGGAAGAGTTGATATTGTTGGTGAAGCGAGCAAGCGGTTAATACAGTCGAATCAGCAAGTCACAAGTGCGTATGTCGCCTTATCCAATGCTTACGCTGTCACTGGAGGATGGGAAGATTCAGAGTCTCTTCGATTAGAGATGAAGCGTAGTGGAAATGTGAAAGAACGAGCTTGTAGCTGGATTGAGATTAAAGATTCAGTTTATGTTTTTCATGCTGGGGATTTGTCGTGTGATGAGAGCGGTGAGATTGAGAGGTTTTTGAAGGATCTAGAGAAGAGAATGAAGGAAAGAGGACACAGGGGAAGTAGTAGTATGATCACAAGTTCATCGGTTTTCGTTGATGTTGATGAGGAAGCTAAAGAGGAAATGGTGAATTTGCATTGTGAGAGATTGGCTTTAGCTTATGGACTGATTCGTTTGCCTGTAAGATCGACGATTCGGATTATAAACAACTTGAGGATGTGTAGAGATTGTCATGAAGCTTTCAAGCTCATCAGTGAGATTTTTGAGAGAAAAATTGTTGTTAGGGATGTGAATAGGTTTCATTATTTTAAAAATGGATTTTGCACTTGTCGTGATTTTTGGTGAGAC